AGTCATGGCTTGAAATTTTTTTTCCGTAGAAAAACGCCCAAAGCGGAGCCGGGCAAGTTACAGATTTTCTATGAGCTTCGGCTTCTTGTTTAGATACGATGATTGTTTTTCGTATTTCAAAAGGTAATCATAAAAAAAGACTGCTCTGTGAAGGCTCCTGAGCAGCCACCACTATGATATTCGGATTCAGCATAGTTGATAACCTACCTAGAGAACATACTTGGGGCCAAGTATTTCGACCAAGTACTTCGTCTGCGTAATGACGCCTTGCCTTTTTCCAGAAGTAAATTTACTTGTAAGTATTTGTCCTTACTTGCCAAGTACTTTCAGAAAGTACTTCTTAGCAATAAGACAAGAATTTCGATCATTGACAAGTACTTAGCAAGTAATCAAGTACTTGCATCAAGTACATTCTCTAGGGTATAACCCGGTAGGTTTGGATGACAATTCGCGAGATCCCCTCGTAAATTAATTTTCTAAGTTTTATACTGGTTGATATTATAACGTTTATCTACAACTTGTCACTATAACACAAAAGAGTGGCTGACTCGTCCAAGTATTCGAATGAAGCCGGTCAAGTGATCATACTTGGCGAATACTTAGAGAAGAAGTTGGGAAGTAAAAACACTTCTTAAGTTCTTGAGTATGAGAATGATACTTGATCGAGATTGAAGTTAATCGTCTATCTACTGCAGACATCTTTGAGTCTCCTGTAAAAAATTCGTAAACAGTTTTGCAAACCTATCTAGGTTTTTTGCGAAGAGATGAAGTTGACCTTTTTACTTCATTATCACTGCTATTAAACTAGCTTTAAAAGTACGTATCACGTTTATTTTTTATTTCACTCTGTTACTGAGAAAATTCATTTTTTCTGAAAAATCCGGACCGAAAACGTGGGACTTCTGCTAGTAATTCTCAATTTTCTTCATAGAACTCAACATTATACAATAAAAATACCATATTTAGAATCATGATCAAAAACTCAGTCGAATGATCTTCCATTATATTCTATCCGACTTCTTTGATGTATTTTTAATTTTTCCATCGGAAAATTACGAAAATCATCACTAAAACTGAAAATCAACTAAAAATTACGAAATTTTAGATCTTTCAAATTTTTTCAATTTTCATCCTTCAAACATTTTAAAAAAATTAAAAATTACTTTGTTTTCACTCAGCTGAATGTGTTCTATCCAACCGTGTGCATCAACATACCGGAGCATAATAAAGTAGTCATACTCTCATATATAAAGAAAAAGAGGAAATAATTCAAAGCCCGACGTTATCATTAGTACACAAGATGCTTACCGAAAGAGATCTTTTAAACATGTTTCACATCCTCTATCTCCACATGTTTTTATTTTAACAATCAGTTCCAATCAGTCTTTTTAATAACTTACGATATGGACCAATGCTTTTAGTGCTCGTGAACATATTCACTATTGTTCACATAACACATATTTAGGTGGTTGGTTTTTTCCAACCAAAAATCTAAAATTATCAAGCTGATTAAAACGCCTATGCTGTTCGAAAGATAGAATCAAAAGTTGTTCACGAAATAGATAAAAGCGTATCTTCAAAAGCTTTGAACATCATGCATCGTCAAATAAACAACTGCCCATCTAAGCTCCTTTCGTTCTGTACAGACGGTTGTATCAAACTTTTTATTCAAAGTAACGTTAAAAAGAAAGAGCAGAACAGATGAAAATAACGTGCTTTTATGCTGTGCGAGAACAAAGTATTACTATTTCATTCTTTCTCTGAGTAGGAAAACGAAACTTTTACTAGGGGAACATTTACATATTACGTAATCAAAACGCCACGCCACAATCTGAGCAAGAAAATTCCTGCTCAGATTGTGGTGCGGCGTTTTGATTACGTAATATGTAAATGTTCTCTAGGGCACTAGCAAATAAGGAATATCTGTGTTTTGCACATGCATATCTTTATCTTCCCATGTAAATTCATTGCGTCTGAAAAGACGCGTTTGAATGCGTTTTTTTCAGAAAAACATTCTTAGACGCATCTCGGCAGGACGCGCTTAGACGCGTCTAGCACTTTTTATTAAAAAAAACGCGTCTTAGTGCGCTTTACCGAGAGAAGTCTTCAAGACGCGTCTGAACGCGTCGTACCGTGACGCGCTTAGACGCGTCTGGAGTTTTATATTAAAAAAGACGCTTCTGAACGCGTTATTTTCAGAAAAAGTTTGTCAGACGCGTCTAAACGCGTCATGGTACGACGCGTTCAGATGCGTCTTCTCTCGGTAAAGCGCGATAAGACGCGTTTTTTTTAATAAAAAGTGCTAGACGCGTCTGGAATTTTTGTTAAAAAAGACGCGTCTGAACGTGGTTTTTTCAGAAAACATTTGTCAGACGCGCCCGGCACTGTTTATAAAAAAAACGCGTCTTAACGCGCTTTGCCAAGAGAAATCTATAAAGACGTGTCATACCATGACGCGTTTAGACGCATCTTAACGGGCTTTGCGAACAGAAATTTTCAAGACGCGTCTGGGCACATTGTCCGGAGAAAAGCGTTTGATGCGATTTTGGGAAACAAAAATCTTTCAGATGCGTTTAGAAATCAATTGAAACGGGTTACGTTCGTAATCTAAAGTTAGAGATTTGAAACACATGCACTACACCATTAGCAGTTCTGTCCTTCGACGTATGAATAATGGATAGTATCTATTTAGTTTCAGATAGAAACAAAGATTTGTGTAGACACATTACTTATTTGCTACGGCTTTAATATTTCCTTCTTTCACTACTTTCCTCTTTTAGTGTGACTGTCTGTACGTCGTATCATGCCACCTGTTCTTTTTTCTTTAGTATGACACTTTCTACGAAGAACGTCCAACATTGTTGACCAGCATCACACGAACACGAATTATAGTTTTCGCGGAAGAGAACGAAGTGACATGTGTCAAAAAATATCAGACGTAGAAAGGAAAAAATAGTCTTTTTGTGAATTATAGACCAGGGTTGCCAACTCTTCCGATCAACTCTTTCTTCTCCAAATACAGTTGAAATTCAATTTCTTCTATAAGCCATACGGGACAAAGAAAGGAAAAAAAGAGGCAAATGAGGATCAGTTTTAAAAAAAATTAAGATGTAACCCTTTTTACTGTCTTTTGGGAGAAAAAAATACGACTTTTGGTTTTAGACACTTTGCTTTTCTGATTTTTTCTGATTTCTTAGCTTTTGAGTTGGCAACCCTGACGACAACAGAGAGTTTCATAATGCGAATGTAAACTGAAACAAAACAGAAACTTGAAAATGGTTCATTTTGATTGGTTCCAGTTTGCTGTAATTAAGCATTATTTTTTTTACTAATTCTGGTTCTAACCTTAGTTGTCTTGTCTTCTTTATTTGGTTATTTTTTATTACTCTTTTGGTGTCGTTTGGCTTGAGTCATTGCCATTACAGGTCAATGATCTTTGATGGTTCTCACTTTTCGTGAATAAAACAATCTTACTACAAAGACTCTTTTTATTTTATTTTTCCTTTTCCTCTTTCTTTGTCTGCTTATTTGTTTCTGAATTTATTTTTAATCTTCTATTTTATTTTCCTACCTTTACGTTTGTATATGTGCAATTTCATTCGACCCTAATATACACTAGATAACACTCATCTGTGATCTACTGGATCCTTGACTTTCGTTGCGCTACGTGCAGTGGTAGTCACTCATTGCGTATGCCCATTGCTCACCTATCGGGCTGATAAACGAAAGTAAGCTTAGATCTCAATATTTATCTCAAAATGTTGTTCATTTGTCTCATCCACTCTGACTGTTCTTCCCCATCTACTGTCACATGTGAGATAGCTTCCTGATGAAAAAGTCCGTGATTACATACTTCACGGACCGTACTCAATAATGGAAGGAACTTCTGATTCAGACAAAAGTAGGTGGAAAATCACGTACTTTTCTTTTTTCAAATTTACAGTGCATGTACTACTGTAACAATTCTTGCATTGCTAGAGAATGATCCATAAAATACCTATAACCATTTTTTCCGTATTTTGCCGACAGACGGACAGAAAACTCATTTGTAAGACACTAGACTAAAGGCAACAGAAGATAGAATTTTTAGCGAGTGAAAATTTTTTTGAGTGATTGTAGAAAATTTGTTGAATAAACAATTTTCGTGGCTTCGTCGTTAAAAAGTGTTATGAATAAGCAGGGTGAAGTTTATTTTACTAAACGATACTCCTATCGGCAGAAGTTTGAATAGGATTTGTGAATAAGACGGTCGGAAAGAACTTTATGAACGATTTAGTGTCTTCGAAAACTCCATTAGCCATTTCAGCTATAATGTTTTATGCGAACAATAATTTAGAAGTTAAAATGATAATAAGTAAAAGAGATCTCTGATAGTAAAACTTTAGTATTTTTCTAATGGAAAAAGTTAGTAGACACGTTACTATGACCAGTGAATTATCTAGGGTACAGACAGGGTGACCGTCGTCCCGTCTGGAAATGTTAGCAGCCCTCTCAGAACATTTATCTATCCTCTCCGGTAAATGAAACCTAGATAAACTACTGACTATGGATTGCTGTTAACATGTGCCTTAGTTAGTGATCAATTAATCAATTTTATTTTAATCCATGATCTTAACAAAATGACAGGTTAATGACAAAAGTTTAACAAAGAACTTGTCTAGGTCATTCCCAGTAAAAGCGAAAAAAAGATAGAAAAGAAGTTTGAACAATAGAAAAAGTGGCACAGTAAAATAGAATATGGCTTAGTATGCACTGTTAACTACTCTAAGAAACACGATGTTTCTTTAATGCACGTTTAAATGCTCGAGCACTAAAGACAGGAACCACTTTTCTTAGTAATTGATTCCACTCTTTTATAGTTTTTGATGATGCAAACTTGCGGGAGGCCCTTAGTTTCTCTTCAATCTACACTGTATTTGTTGTTACAAGCGATCGTTCGTTTATTTTAGAAGTCTGTGAAAAGTGTTTGAGCGTAAATTTAGGGAAAAATATTTTCAAGCATGAAGCCACAAGCTTTTGGAGCGGGTCGCGCAGGTTCGATGTTTGATCCGATTGAATTTTTAAAGAAACCACAAGTTATCCTACGTCTTGTTGCTTGGGTATGTAAAACATAGACTGACAGTTAGGCATCTGATTTAAATTCGATGCCTGAATGAAGCCTAACTTATGCCACATTTATAAAACGGACTAAGACACATCTTAGATAACATAACTTAAATCAAAGGTTTCGTTTTATCCTAGCTTAAGTTGGGCTTAAGATTTTTTGTTGTAGACACCTAATTTTATTGCCATTTTTCTATCAACTATAGGTATTTGCAATTGTTGTATTTGCTTGCATCGCTCAGGTAATAATGAATTCTTTATGCATTAACTTATAAAGAAAATGCTTCTTTTTCGTTTATTGTTCAGGAGGGACATGTATCGGGCCAGTGTCGGTACAATAGGTCGAACGCTTGCGGTTTTGGTATTGCTATTGGAGTCATTTCTTTTTTACTTTGTATAGTGTATACTGCACTTGATATTTATTTTCCAAATTTATCTAATATCAATCATCGAAAATATGTTGTTTTATCTGAATTAATTGTATCAGGTATTGGGTTGAAAATCTTTTCGAATATACTGGCATGTAAAAATGTATGCTTCCTTTTCAGGCATATTTGTCGTCTTTTGGTTCACTGCATTTTGTTATATGGCTGATCAATGGCGTCGAGAAAAATATAAAGAATTACCCAACTGGAATGGACGAAACAGTGTTCAAGCTGCAATTGCATTTGCCTTTTTCTCAATTATTGTCTGGGTAAGTTCATTAGTTCCATGTCTGAAAGTCATTAAAGGAGGAATATCGTGTGGATCAATCATAATTTCTCAGAACAGAAGCATACGTCTTCGAATATCAGTTTTTTCGCTTGCTTCTTTGAACCTGGTTAAATCGAGATGATTTCTAATTGAATATTTAGTGTACAACACTTTCCCTTCGAAGTACATTTTCCTTAATAAATAATCTTGTATCTTTTCTTTCATTCAAATTTGATGCGGTTTCTGTTTAGATTGCATTGGCCTATTTTGCATTTCACCGTTATCGTGAAGGTGTCTCAGACTTATTCTGTTCGAGCTATGAAGATCATACGAATAATCCGGTTGGTGATCAAGCGCAAGCATCCTATCCTGGATTTACAGGCGTTGTCGGTACAAGTTCAGGTAAAATTTGAGACCTCTATTTCTCAAGAATTGATTTTAATTCACTTTGTTTGTCTTCTAGGCTTTCAACAGCCTCCATTTATACCAACACTACAAATATCAAACTATCAGCCACCAAATAATGATATACTTATTCAACGTGCACAGATTGAAAATGCAGACAAGAATAATGATTCGACGAAAGTGACAAATATTATTCATAATTATTTTTTCACCAACAAATAGCAGGGACATTTTCTTAAGGAATCGTCTGTCTTTCAAAATTTGAGTCAAAAACTAAGTCGAATGATACATATTTCACATTTCAGAGTTTCTAAATGCATCAGTTCGGAAAGTCGCTTGCTTGTTATCAACTCACGACAACATGAAAGATAAGTCAACAAATAAATTTTTACTTTTCTTCCCACTCAGCTAACAAAACGTTCTAAACATTCGTAAAACGGTGACACTACCATTTAAAAACTTCAGAAGAGACATTAACAGTAGTTCTAATGGTTTCCTTCCCAAATCAACATAAAAGATGAAAAAAAATACGCCAAACATATCTTAACTTCAGTGGCGTACAGGGAGAGGGCATGATCCAATGCAATCGAAGCCTTGACACAATCGAAAATTTTTCCATGTATCTGATCCGATGCTTTTTTTTATTACCAATTGTGAACGAAATTTGTCGTGAACAAGAGATGACATGAAAGAGAGATACAAATCCATAGTAAATTATCATTTGCTTATTCGTTTTTCTTGACAATGCATTTTCAAAGACTTCAGGTTTATTTAATCTCATTTTATACAGAATTTAATTCTTTATCTGACACTTTATGAACAATTTCTAGATATAGCAACTTGAAGATTTCCTACGGGAAATGTAAATCTTAAAACAAATTTTAAGTAAAGAAATTTTGTGTTTTATTGATATCCTGTTTTTGAAAAGACCAACATTTTTCAGTATAAGGATTATAAAGTTTTAAACCTTGCAGGCACGCAGCCACGAATTTTTAGGAGGGAAGGACCATCATATGGGAAAGGTGCTTTTTGTCTTGTGAAAACGAATCAGTCCGTACCCCCTCCAGGTATTTAAATCTTTCAGGAGGGATTGATCCCCCCAATCCCCCCTCTGGCTGCATCACTGGAACCTTGTGACTTTGACCGTTTTTCGTCTCCGAAATTTCTACTAAAGTGTTGTCAAATATGACGAACAGGATAGAATTAGAGGGTCCAGACAGCTTGGAGACTAATAACTAAATATAGCACAATGTCTATTCTATGCAACCATATGTATAAAAACCCTTCAGTCAAAACTTTTCTTAACTGCCGATGTTCTTTGTGACGTAATTTGAGTTCATGTTAGGAGTAGCGTCTGCAAGTTTGTCTTATGTCGTAACAACTAGTTATTGACTGATGGTTATCTACTTTTCATTAGAACCTAAAAACACCTGTTCAGTCTTTCTATTATTGATTCCGTAATTCTGAACTTTTATCCACTTCATTCTCAAACAAATTTTAATCATCTGTCTACTTAATCTTGATTAGGATTTTTCATTATTTTTTTAATAAAGTAATTCTTTCACACAAGATACACGGTCACGCTCAGATCACACTGTAGAACAATATGAAGAAGGATAGGAGTCAACATTTAATGGAATTGGTACTCTTCAGATTTTAACGTAGAATGATGACCTTATCATTCTTGTATAGTTTCTATTACTTTTTAATTGAAAGAAGTTAAGGCAGTAGACCAAATAACATTTTTTCATGTCAGGAATGCCCGAAAACTAAAATATGGCAATATCTTAGAAAACATTTCCGAGAAATATGGTAAAATGATAGAACTGATCGAGTTGAGAAAGAATGCCATCAAAAAAGTAATAATAAAACTTGCAAATCTACTATTACGTAATATTTTCTGAGTCAACTAGTCTATAACTATAGACATACAATAGTACAATCGATACGAGATGTAGGTCAAATACTACCAAAAATGCTTTGTTACGCTCTTCTTTCATTTCTTTCCTATCAACAGGGCTGCAGCCACAATTATTTCTTCATAAGGTCGATAATGCTAGAAAAAATGCTCTTCAAAACTGCGTTGATGTCATATCAATAAAGATTCCGAACATGGCAAAAGCTTTGACCAACAAGAAAAAATAGCACTATTCTGTCAAATTCACTACCAAAAATGTATTTTTTCACAACAATAGGACGATATTCGAAATTAGTGTCAAAAGTTGAGTAAACAATATGCCTCTCAAACTTTGTATTACATTAGATGGCTTTTGGTGGAATCCGAGAAGTTCACAGCGTTTCTCATCTATACTGGTTGCGAACGCCGACTGAAGGGAGACGTGAGCATTGTTTTGAATTCAGAAATATGTTTAGACCTCTAAAGATTTTTGCTTTATATATTACATATCAGATTACGAACAGGGTGCCCAAATCCAATTTTTAGAAAACCGATTGGTTATAATAGATTATCTATGAACTGTCAGTTTTATTACCGGTAGACCACTTTTTTGTATTGTCACAGTTGACTGCTATCTGGCGACATCTATCCACGACCTACAGAAAACGTTTGCTTAGCTGTTTATCTCCTTGCATCAGTAGATATTTCAGATGATCTCTTTAATTATTTTCTCTCTTGTGTAAAAAATAATTTTCTACCTTTGTCTCTTGTGATACGCTTATCCATAGAATATCTGACAGCAGGGCCGGCTAAAGGCGTGTTCAGGGCGTGCCCGACACACAGGCGCGAAGACTCGAAAGGCGCCTCGCTATTCATATAAAAGCACCTTTCGCGACTAAAAGCGCGTAAAGCACCATTTTCTAAATAATTTTCGTGTTGTTATTATACAAAATCTAAATGATAATTAATAAATTTATTGAAAAACAAAAATTCTATTAAAATTTTTTCATATAAAAGGCGCAAAAACATTTTTGACACACGCTTGAAAATTGGCTTGAGCCGGCCCTGTCTGACAGGCATTTTTCCGTATTTTGCGCGCACACCCGCAGACACACAGACAACCATTTTGTAATTTAATACCCTATGCACGGTTGCGATATCTTAATTTTCAAATGGGGTTTACCAGATTTTGAATGGGGTACAATTGAGGTACACTTCTTTTTATAATGCGGTACGTCATTGGGGTACAGAACTTTCCTTCTGAAATAGAAGGTTAGTTGGGAAAACTACTAAAACACAATTTCTTTCATAGAAAATAACATCATATTTCACTTTTTTCTATTAGAAATAAACTTTATTGTTCTTTTTTCACAAAAAAACACTTTCACAATTACATTATAACTTTAAAAAACAGTATAATCTAGAAACAAATACAAAACTTTACTTTGACACTTGTTAAATATCGAATTAGCTAGAACAAGGTTTTTTGTATAGCTATACTTTTTTTTACGTCGAGCACATTTGATTAATTCAGGTTCATTTTGAACAAATTTTAAAAAGTCATCACATTTCATCTACAGTTCAATCGTATTTTTAATTCAGCAGCTACAGTTTCACTTGACATTAAATTTTGACTAGGTGTCCAGGCATGCTTCATATGACTAAAAACACCGTTTGTAAATGCGTTGGAACAAGGAATTGAATAAATGTAGGAGATTAATTTTGTCATTTGTTCACAGTTTGTTGTTGTTCTTGCAATTAAATAAGTCCAAAGTTGATCTGGTCGAATTCTATGATGATTGTCTTCTTGAGTTTTTGTTGATGTCTTTTGAACAAATTCTTCTTCTTCATCTGGTGCAACAACTTTTCCATCGACTATGTGTTTTTCAACGTTATGATCATCAACAACAATGAACAAATAATGGTTCATGATAAACCGTAGATATAAGTTCCTAAAGTCAATGGACCGAGCGAATATAGACGAGCGTTACTTTGTGGAATAAGTCGACTATGCGGAATCAGAAAATGGCAAATTAGTAGTGGGCAGACAGATACACATATTATTAGCGGGACGATAGATGCACCTATCTGTGACCTAACACACGAGATAGTGAGCACATTGTGTGTGTTGTGTGCAGGGGCAACTTTTGAGAAACGAAGGGAAACTGGTAAATTCTATTGGGCTATCCATAGGAATAACGTCCGGTGCGAAAGGATCAAGGTTCAAGGCGAAATCCTGGTAGACAAGCATTTGTGTAAAAGGTAGCGCCAATTATTAAATCGTAGATACGGCCGTTTCTTTCGAAATCCGATAAGAAATCTTACTAGAAAATCGTCTTGAATTTCCATAAATTCGAATTTCTATAAAGTGGAAAATCGATAAGCAATTTCTATAAACTGGAAATTCCTCCTCGAATTTCCAACTTTCTAGAAAATAAAATGAATTTCCACATTCTTGGGAATTATTTATAGAAATTCGATCGATTTTCTAGAAACCGGAAATCCGCCCAGGAACTTTTTAAGCCAGCTCTTATTCACCTTTTTGTTTTGCAATCAGTGTATTATAACAGCGTCACATAAAGACACTTAAATCAGCTTGGACAGTTTCCACTTTAAATCATAATTCTGCCTATGCCAGCAAGAATTTGGATTTAAGTAGAGACAGTGGCGGCGAAAAGGGGTAGTTTCGGAAGGAAGGTTCCAGAATCGGAGAAGTCCACAAGAAATTCCTGAAAAGCATGAGGGGTCGAGATCAACTCCAATACAACCTGGTCGCGCCGCCACTCGGTGCAGACGCGCCAAGGAATTTACAGTTTATAGCGAATCAAAAAAGAATTTCTATGTTCTTGGAATATATTTACATATTATATTCCATATTTACATTTTCAGATATAAGAATGAGTGGAGATAACTTCAATCTTATTATCCAAACTACGAGTAATTCTCAACACTAGCAGAAACAACAAATACCTCTCGATTATATTTTTTCCGATGAATTATTTATGGAAATATTTTTATACATGTCATCAATACCACTTGATTTGTATCCTGCATTCTATAATTTAAATAAACGTTTAAATTCAATATTAAATGATAACAATCTATTAGTTGGTATTGATTTAGCTACAATTAAAACATGTGATACAAATTAGTTATGTAGTACTTTAATTCCATTATGTTCATCACGAATTTTATATGTAAATTTACGTAATCACTGGTCATTTCCAGCAGAATTTCAATTTCGTATTAATGAAGTTTTATAATTACGCTCATTTACCATACTATATCCATCTAAAAAACAAATACATTATTATTTTCCATTACTTCAACATACAACAAATTTAGAACGTTTCTTCTATATTAAAACAAACACAATAAAATATGAAAAAAAAAATTATCAGTTACCATTATCATTATCATATTGCCATTTAGCAACACTGTGTGAATATAAATTATTAGATCAAAAATCAGTAGAATTATTACAGAATTTACAATCATTAATTATTGATAAGTCTACTGATGTATATCAAGCATTAAATATGTTTCCAAAATCAAAATATTTTAAAACAAAAGTTTCAGAATTCAGCACGCATTTATTTAGTAAGAAAAAAAATTAAATAAAACACATCTTTTTATAGGAGAAACTTGTCACAATATACAATGTGGTGCTAGTGACTAAACCTGGCATTATTCTTTTTGTAGAGCTTGAAGAGGTGCTGAAAAGCGAATAGTAAAAATTACAGACCTCTAACCTTAGACAAAATTTTTTTAATAAATCTGATAAGATTCTTACCGGTTTCTTAAATAAGATTCCGCAGGAGAGTCCCAAGAATTTCATAAGGAAAGTATAAGAGCCTTATAAGAAAGTTGTAAGAGTTTCATAAGAAGATGATAAGAAAGTGATAAGAACTCTTATGTAATTCTTAACTGTTTTATACGAATTTCTTGGGGGAAGCTTATTAGATTCTGATAAGTATTTTATATTATACAGTATTTTATTTATGCAAAACATAGATAGATTATTTATTCCAATACAGATGTTAGAATAAGTCAGGATAATGGAGAACAAGCAAAAAGTTATTGATTATATTAAAGAACTATCACCAAAAAGTACTAAATAAAGCGTAGACGCTTTCATATAGTTTGAGATCACTCCTCGTTTTTTATAATTTAACAAACAAGTCGAAAAACTGTATTATTATAATATAATGACGAGATAACTTATCATAGTTGTAGCCCGTTATAGCTCAGGTGGTGAGAGCACAGCACAACAAGCTATAGGTTTCACAGGTTCGAACCCTGAACGGCCGCTAATTTTTTTTAAAATTTTTTGACGTAGGACTGGCAGTAGCAAACGTATCCAACAAACTCTATCAATTTTCAGAAAAAATTTTTTTTTAAGTAGGAATTTCATAAGAAACACGTACGAATCACATAAGAGTTCTTATCACTTTCTTGTGAAACTCTTCCGACTTTCTTTTAACACTCTTATACTTTTCTTATGGAATTCTTGGGACTCACCTTCGCAATCTTATTTAAGAAACCGGTAAGAATCTGATAAGACTTTTGTACGGGTCTTAGTTGATACGTTTATCTTTCCAGCAAGATTCTTGACTGATCCTTATATAAGAATCGTCGACTAGGGAGCTTTGCTAGAATTAAAATTATAGTCATTTTCCTATTTCCAGCAGAAAAACGCACTGTTCATCATTTCCTAAAGAATTTCGCCGCATTTGATAAGGTAGAATTTTGAGTCCGGTGTCGTAGGAAAGAGTGGGAGTCGAATTCGGTATATTTGAAGAAAGAACTTTTCATGCGCAGACTGGACGTCTCGAGAAAAGGTTTTTTTTATGAACCTACTTTCTAACTAGATTGCAATTGTTCTGTTCACTGTTTCTACTTGAACGTGCCCAAAACAGCCATTATCTAGGATCTTTCTTTTTGCTTGACTTTCACTATAATTTCTCTTTCTGCTATTAATAGAGAGAAATAAGCTGAAGAAAAGAAACTGCAAAACGAAATTTGAAAAACAGAGAAAGAGAGAGAGGGATTCCACTTTTGGATGTTATGGCGTCGAATCTGCAGCGTTTTTTAAAATAAAGAATGTACGATGCTCAATCTGCAGTACCCAGAGAGTATCCTGCCGTTTTCAGAAGTTTTCTACCTTGCACAGTTCTCTAAATCACGCGGCGACAATTTTGCAAAAACTTTGACTAAAGAAAATTCTCTGCAAAAACATAATGTTTGTCGACATAAAAAGCCTACCGACCTTAAAATTCGATAAAACTTTCGATCTCATTTATGGATAGCTTCTTCACTTCTTTATAAAATGAGTTGTGATTTCTAGAATTTTACAGTACTTTCGTCATCATGTGACGGTGAACTTTCGTCACATGACGAAAGCTTTGTTTTCAGTAACAAAAAGTCACCGAGCATGTGACGAAAGTTTAGCTATGCTTATATAGTGGTTACGAAAGTTAACTCCTTTTGTGACGAAAGTGTCTGGTGTTTTTAGACAGGTCGGCACTTTCGTCACACGTTGCATGAAACGACTGCGATGATATCAAGGTTTAGTGCAACGTTCAGTAGTCCAAAGTGTTGTAGTGCAAACTGGAGTAGTCCAAACTGCAGTAATGCAAGCTGTAACAGTGCAAACTGGAGTAATAACTTCTTGCTTTTTCTTTACAAACATTGCATTTTCTTAGCGAAACGCGTAGAACCCTTTTGAAGTCTTTTTCTAAAGTCAAAGTATCAAAATCAAGTGTCTGTTGCGTTTGGGAGTAGTTCGGTCTGAGGTGATCCACACTGCAGCAGTCCAAATTGGAGTAGTCCAAATGCAAGCAGTTCTTTTACAGTCAATAACAATAGCTATATAAACATGAGAGAAACGGCAATATAAAGCGTTGTTGTGCATGAACTCTCGTCACACGTTATAACGAGTTTTTTGCCGTTATATTATTAGTGTGGCGAAAGTTCGCGATGGGTTGTGACGATAGTTGTAGGTATGTTACAGAGTTGTTGGCTAAGAAAGTCACACTCTTGTGATCAGAGTGTGAGGCGGTACTCCCCCAAAAATACCATACACTTTCGTCACGTATGACGAAAGTTCTTTTTTCTATGTAACGAAAATTAACGTGACGAAAGTGCTATCATCCAGTTTTGGGAAACGACAGATATATATAGGCTTTGAAAGATTTCGACATATATTCATCGCAAAATTCTATACTTTAAAAGCCGAAATTTGCATGTACACATTATTTTCTACAGTGATTTTTTGGTACAGCGTCGTAGAACTATGACTAACATCTCTTCTGTTGACAAGGTCAGTTAGGAAATCTGTTTTTGTTTTAGAACCGAGTGATGGGACGTAAGTGTTTCTTCGATTAATATATAGACCTAATAAAAATAATAAACTTTTTTTCGATGTAGGCGGAACTATCTATTTAAATTTAATTCAATTTGATTTAACAATCATTAAAGTACTGGATATGAATGAATTAGACTATTTATTATTTAGATAATTACCAAATTTAAGAAAGTTTTCATTAGTTATAAAATTTTATGAGAACATTATAATTAATGCTGAACATTTATCTCAATTTTTAATTAAATTAGATACATCAAAAGAAAAATTAAAAAAATTAATTTTAGATATAAATATACAATATTCTTGTTTAACTCATGATGGACATTTAAATGTGGAAAAATTGGAAGGAGACATGAAAAAATGGAATTTAAAATATGAAATACAAAATAATAAGAATGATGATCTTAGTGCAGTACATATTTATACAATAAATAAATAAAATGGGACAAAAACAAAAAGATTTATTACATTTACGCGAGACTTTGTTTTGTTTGTGTCAGAGAAATATTATAACTAAGTTAAACACACATAGTGTACTTTTTGTTTACATTTTTGTGTTTTTT